TGCACGAAAATCGGAAAATTGGTGTGCGCGAAAGCTAAGAAACGTGCGCGACAGACCATTAGAGAAATGTCAGAGGTCCTCCGGAACAAGACTAGACCCGATGAGTGCTTCAACTCAGCATGCTGCCGTCAGAAGTGTTCCATTTCACAGCTATGCAGATGCCGCCAAGTGGACATTCCCTCTAGGACGTCCTTGCCAGCTTTCAGCATCAAAGAGAAAATCAAATGAGGGACACATGACATCCAACCATTGGACCATATTTGCAGCAGTAAAAGCACACTGGGACCAGCACATGATCAACCTCTCCGTCCATGTTGCAGACTGTGTCGTATGGTATTGTCCTTCATCATGCACTGCTCCACAGAAGAATGCAAAAAAAAAAAATGTTGATTCAACAATGGAGCGTAGCTGCGATCAGGTCTCGGGGCGACCGCCTCATCCTCGGCGGCGTGTGATGGTGCAGGAACAGCCTGGCATTCAAATCGTCCACGGAAAGCATTCCACCCAATGCCTCGTAAGTCTGGTCCAGGATTAACTACATGTCTTCTAACACTCTTATAACACAGACATCTGACCGTTGCCCGGGTCTTCAAGGCAGCAATGGGAGAGACCAATGCCTCAAAGGTCTGGTTCTTGCAACCAGACTGATAGGCAGGCACCTCTTGGAACTTCACAGTCCAAGCGCCACGTTGAGTTGCGCTGAATTGCTCCGACCTGAAATCCATCCCATGCGACTCCATCACCATCATACGGCAAGGTGTCCTTGGCAAGTCAAGAGAGCTACAGTAGGAAGACCTTGTCGAAATCATTGGCAATCCTAGGCAAACTCCTAAGCTCAGGTAGGCTCCGATTCCATAGCTGATGCTGGGATTGGGATTCCAGGCCGAGGGCACGGTCACAACAAATACCTCCTGAACACTTCTTTGACTTAACTATGAAAGCCTGTTGCATTCCCGTGCATCGTAAGTGGTGACACGGCGAAGCGCGCAGCTTGAACATGTTGCCACAAGCATCACTCAACCCAGAGCACATCTTGCAAATCGGTGTAGACGCGTAAAGCCTCAAATGCGGCGCGAGCTTCATGATGCAAGCCCTGTTTGATCCTATCTGCGCCTTTGCGGCGTGATTTTGCTTGCTACCGATACTACTCAACAACATGACTGCAGGGGCAGCTTATCAGCGTCGCTTCGTTTTCATGAGCAGTGTGAAACTGTTTCTTCGGAATTGTGAAACTGTCTCTTTGCACCTACAGCGCAAATCAAATGAAACTTGAACTCGAGTCTGTCAGCCGAGGTTGCCAAAGCCTGGTCAAACTTCCAGCCCAGACCGACTCAAGACTTAAGCTCGACAACATCTTCGCAGCCTAGTGCGTCAGATCTTGAAGTCCTGAGGCATGGCAAACGGGATCACTGATGCTACCTTTGTCGCATGCTCATCACTCCTGTCTGGCGCCATCGCTGCGCCTGTTGACTGAACGTAGGCTGCCTGCAGGACTTGCCAGCTCTCAGTTAGAAATCGCCATTCTAGAAATCAAGAACCGTAAGACCAGAGCCTTCAAACGGTGCGTTGTAAGCCGGGGAAGGATGTGAGCCTTTACAGCATGGACGGCTCTTACATGGATGGTTTCTGGCTACGTTATCTGCCTGCCTTTGGGCTTGCACTGGCAAAGCTCAGGTCGTTCATGTGCTTGACCCACTGCGGCAATAAGGATGAAGTGCATGCACTGTATGACAGTATGCTAGATGCTCATGTCAAATGCGTCGGTGCTCCTGCCTTATCCTCTGGATCCTGGAAAGCGCTGTCGGCTATGTTGTAGTGGATCCGTCCATCCTGCCCGCAAAAACCAATCGCGGCCATCGACTCTGTGCCAAGACCAGCACAGTGAAACCTCGCGGCCCATGGCAAGGCGAACCATTGCATCCTTGCCAAGGAGACATGAAAATCCTTCGCCTCAGGCTCTTGCAGGAACCTCGACATTGTCCAGCAACGTGCGACAGTTTTTGCGCACGAGGCGTACATATTCATTCGCCGGCCCAAACCTGCATGAAAAAGAGCGTGGCCAAGCAGCAAAAAAAAATGAAAGCAATGCGCCTCGGCTTCCGGCCGACCAGTTCAACAATTGTTTCTGCCCCAATTCCCTCCCTGCATCCTCGCTCCACCCTCCAGCCCACCACTTCCGAGCCCCCGTTTGGCACAACACCTGTGCCCAGCCAACATGGCACGGAACCCTTGAGCAAACTCCATTTGTGAACAGCCCCTCCTAGATTAGAGGCAGGATGTAGTTAGGGCATGTACTAAGAATCTACGAACAAAATGACCCATTCCTTCATGCATACATGAACGTCCAAAACCACATGTTCCGCTGCCAGGGAACACTTCAAACGTCTTCGGGAAGAGGAGGAGGAAGGAAGCTAATCCAATCTGGCATGTCATCTGTAAACTCAACATAGATGATAGCACGTCAAGTATGCTGAGCAATCATGCAAGTGAACACAGGTAGATTGAACCAGGCTGGCAGGCGTCATAGTGCATCCACACACCTGGTCTGCCTGTCCTTGTCCGAAACTCAACCGCAAGCCTGGAGGCAAAGAGTCTCACTAGCTCCCCCAGGCTCTCTGTTAAGCTTTCACAACCGAATGAACTCTCAGTTTGACTGCTGATTTGGCAACAAACTCTCGCCACAGCCCAGCATTTGCATTGAAGAGACCACGTATGCTGGATGATTGCCCACGTATTCAGGCTTCAATTCCAAGCGTTGCCTCCCGACTGCAAGTCAGATTTCCGTGCCTTGAGGGTGTCCATGCATGACCGCCGCCTGTCACATTTTGACTTCTGTAGCCGTCTAGGAGAGGCTGCCAAAGAGTCCATGATGGTATGCGCTCTGATCACTCGCGCACCAGCTGCCTGGGACTCCATCACCTAGGATGTAGGCGATCTCTTGCGCGTCTAAGTCAACCTGCGGACACATGAGCCAAAACAGCCAGTATAGGACGTCAAACATAACTTCGAGCTCCTTCAGACGATGAGTACTGGAGTACGTCACCGTGCCACTGGAAGACCTTCCAAAATGGCGAGACGTCACATATGAAAGGAGCAAGTCCTGCTGGTGTGAGAATGAGAATCTGTGAAAACCGGGGCAAAAAAGGCCGGGGAACCTGACAGCGAGCTTGAGAGGGAGAGAACAAACGCACACAGGACTGAGAAAATGCTGAGTCAGCACGGACCTAGCTGCGGGAGAACATTCACATACTGAGCTTGTAACATGCAGCAGGTGGTGGGAGGTAGTCGGGGGAAGGTCTTGGCCTGAAATCCTTGAGGCCTCGCAAAACGGGGATGATGAATGACTGCCAGCCACTGAACTTAGCTGTCGTGACCTGTGCCACAAATCTACGAAGAGTTGCTGTGGCAGTAGCGTCAAAAAGCTAGAACCAATGGAGCGGAGCTAAAGTATTCCAGCTTCACCTCAGCAAACCCTTCTTCGTCTTGGAGAGGCTGTTGCGCGACGGAACGACAACGGTGTCCTGCATAGCAAGGGCTCTGGCATGGCGAATGCTGTGGACCGGATATCTTCTGCTTCTCAGGAGCGCACCATGTCTCTAACCCGAATGCCATCGATGAGGTGCAGCCTCTCATTATCAGCGGCAGGGAGTGGATGAATAGAACCTTGCCTTGCCTGCGCCAGGAACGGGGCCAGTGAGGTTTGATAGGCTCCAGGGACTTGTAATACGTTAAAGGCTCCTGCTCATCCCGACCAATTTCATTACACTCCCCATTTGGAAAGGGGGTTGTTGCCCATCCTCGAGAGTGGAGTCCAAGATGTCGCAACTCCCTGGAAGGACAAGGTATGAGAAGTCCAAAAACTGGAGGAATCTTCAGGCCGCAACGTGTATGTCTCAGGCGCGATGGCTTGGATCTGGCCAGGCAGGTCAGAAAAGTCTTAGGAATTTACGCGTCTTTGAGGCTGCAACATCTTGGTCAATCTTTTTGCGCTTCTGGAGCACTCAGCCGTGCATCAACCGAGAAGCGGCTCCGCTTTCACGGATGCGGCTCTCCGGCAAGTCAAACGAGAAGCCACCATTGCGACAGCAATACCTATAGAGAAGCTACAGACCAAAGCCAACGACCCAAATTGATGTCGGGAGTGGGAACTTTGGGATGATGTCAACGTGCTAGTCATCACCACAGGAGCCGAAAGGACAGATTGGAGAGTGGGGTCGCTTACACGCGTAGTTGTGCCTGACATGTAGCTACCTAGCACATGTCCTGCAAGCACATCGTCTAACTCCCGAAACCGTGGAACGGCCCAGTCACACTCCGATTCGCTCATCAGCATGTTGACACCACGCTTGAGCTTCAACCATCCATTGCTTCCCCAGTATGTTCCCCAACTGTTTCTGACAGTCCAGTATTTAATTCCGGAAGCTGTCTGCCCCCAGCCGGTGACCTCCATGGTGTGATCAATGTCATCTGCTGTATACGTCTTGTTGGAAACAAACACCCCATCATTTTCTGAGGCGACCTTGCTGTAGTTCATCATGAACGTGGCATCTGTTGCAAACGAGCAGGCAATCGGCCCTCGGGCATAAATTTCTTTCATCATTGCCACCTCGCCCGACAGGTTGCCATAAGAACTCACACCATACCCTGTCCACGTGTTGATTGACCAGCAGCCATGCTTCGGCAAGCAGTTGCGACATTGGTCAGCAGGAGTACATTGCATGTTTCGGGCTTGATACGGCATACAGGTTTCATCTGGGACATCGTTCTCAAGCAAATATTTGTGAATCATCCAGGAGTCTCCTCCATCGCATCCTGGAGGGGGAGCACTCGCATTGTCTGGAGCTGGCACACAATTCATCAAGACTTGCCGGGAAAGCATGACATCAGGGAATTGCGCTTTCCGCATGACCTTAATCCGGTCGTTCAGAGCAGCTGTTGTCCCGTGTATCCAGCAGGATCCACAGTACTGCGGGATGTGTTGGTTCACATCGCTGGTCACAAAGTTGCGTCCGCCAACGCTCCTCCAATCAAACGCTTCAGGCAAGTCGTCTTCGGAGACCAAGTCTGCCGTGATCAGGCTGACGGGAGCAGCTCGAGGAAGCCACGGACGAGAGCTCCGGTAGCCATGATTACCCAACACACAAGGCGGCCAAACGAGGCAGATGAGGCCAAACACCAAAATTCGCATGTGGCACAGCCTGGAGGACCAACGCAAAGTTGCAAGTCTACCCTTAAGCCACTGCGAGCCAAATGGAGCTCAAGCCCGGAATGTCCACACTATGTAGACGTAGATGGATCTGACCCGGATTGTGACTATCCAATGTCCAATACTGTAATACTATCTGCCCTGCCGAATGAATCTCCAAGACTCTTTGTCGGCCTTGTCTGCTCATGAGGACCTCCTCTCGTTCGCTCCGCCAGTGACTCTTGCAGCCGCTGCGTGCGCTCCTCAAAAAAAAATACCGCAGTCAGGGCGGTCCAGGAACATCTTCAATGGAGCAATGGCCTGATCCTCCAAATCTAGCTCAAGGACCTGCAATCCACCGCGGGAAAAGCAGGAGACCTTTGGAAAGTTAAGGATGCTACGTCTGCCACCTGGCCTTCATGGAGCTCAGGCCGAAAGGCTGAAGGCCCGCGGCTTGAGCTTTCTGATAGGCAAAAACTGCAACTCCTCACTCGTGTCAACGACTGTTGACGGCTGTCAATTGCACGCTTCCCGAACCTGACATGCTCCACTTTTCGGCGGTAAGTTTCTTTCCTGACGGAAATTTAAACAATAATAACAATCTCTTTGGACTGCTGCAGGCCGAGCATGCGTCTAAGCTATTAATCCAGGAAATTCCAAGGGCATTTGCCCTGTCCACCTGAATCCTACATAATCCTACTACAGCACGACACGGTTCCACGCACGTGGATTCCTCTCAGCTGTCGCGAAAAAAGTGCAGAGGCGGCCACAGTCGATGCATCCCGAGCTCAGCACAGCTTAAGCAAAGAAATACCTTCCGGGCAGAGGCGGACGCTGCTGCTGATCGCTGCTCATCATTCTCATCACTTCAGCTGGGCACGCGCTGTCTCTCACCACGTTTAAGTCCAGCTCCCCTGGCTGGAACAATACTGCTTGTGCAAATCTTGGAACTGGGTCGACATATTCATCATAAACTTGTAACGTCTGAATGGCAAAATACACAGAAATGCTTAACGAAAACATATGGGTTGTCAACCAGAACGTCTGAATCGCGAACTCAGACGTCAGAATCGCGAATTAGGACGTCTGAATCGTGAATAAAACGCGCGGAATCGTGAACTGAAAGCAATAAATCGTGATTTAAGCAGCTGATTTGTGAATTTGGGAAATTGCATTTAATTAACACCGCGGAATCGTATGTAATTGACGTTAAATGACACAAGGATCCCACGCATGAACGCCATGTCTCTACGGTTTTTTGTCACGTCTTCTTGCAAGGCGAAGGGGGGTTGACTTTCGCAATTTCTGTTCATGACAATTTGAGACGCACAAACTTGGTAATAACTAAGCCGTAGTTATTACATGATACGTCATGACACGGCAGCGCACTTTTTACAACCATGTCAACTTCAGTGGCTGCATTCTCTGTCAAAATTTCTGTTGCACCAAGATGCAACCTTTTCGTGTCCAAATGTTGATTTCGACGCCTCGTATTACGGAGACGGATATGAAATTGTACATACGGGGAATGTGACACATGGAAGAAGAATGTACAAATCGGAAATGTATGAACAAACTATACAGGGGTGAGGAAGGTGGGTGAGAAAGGAACAGATGTTCCAATGCAAGTGCACCAGCTGTAACCAAAATGGTGACGGTTCAAGCACAAACATGGAATCCGCATGCCTTTGTGGTTACCAGCTTGGTGCTAGAAGAATTGTCATTTCTGACGCAAGCGTAATACACGACCTTTCAAAACGGACAAACTTGGTAGTACCTAGCCCGTACTTATTACATGATACGTCATGACGGGGCAGCGCACTTTTTCCAACCATGTCAACTTCAGTGGCTGTATTCCCCGTCAAAATTTCTGTTGCACCAAGATGCAACTTTTTCGTGTCCAAATGTTGATTTCGACGCCTCGTATTACGGAGACGGATATGAAATTGTACATACGGGGAATGTGACACATGGAAGAAGAATGTACAAATCGGAAATGTATGAACAAACTATACAAGGGTGAGGAGGGTGGGTGAGAAAGGAACAAATGTTCCAATGCAAGTGCACCAGCTGTAACCAAAATGGTGACGGCTCAAGCACAAACATGGAATCCGCATGCCTTTGTGGTTACCAGCTTGGTGCTAGAAGAATTGTCATTTCTGACGCAAGCGTAATACACGACATTTCAAAACGGACAAACTTGGTAGTAACTAGCCCGTACTTATTACATGATACGTCATGACGGGGCAGCGCACTTTTTCCAACCATGTCAACTTCAGTGGCTGTATTCCCCGTCAAAATTTCTGTTGCACCAAGATGCAACCTTTTCGTGTCCAAATGTTGATTTCGACGCCTCGTATTACGGAGACGGATATGAAATTGTACATTCCCGTCGCTGGTGTACGATTTCCTGTCGTAGTTTAGGACACCAGTAAGAACTACACATTAAGACACGAGTGGACAATGTCCAAACCAGGGAGATTTTCAAAGCCTACGCAAAAGGCAACCTGGATGTCACCAATAACTTTGAGGCATCGTTCGGTGATGGCCTCCTGGGGCAATTTGATGTGGAACCATAACAGTCCCTCCAGGAGGTTCTCAAATCTACTGATGGGGTCCGACAAATTAGCTTTTGTCGGAACACGCTCAATGCGGTGAGCAATGCCCCTTCTGTTGTGCCATGTCCAACGTGCACTAATCAAACAATTCAGGGGCTGATGCTTCCCTACTCCCTTGATAAGAGCATGACGAGCTGCTTCATTGTCGCAGCACTGGATGTAGAAGTTGCCCCGGATGGGTTCGCAGACCAGTGGTGCAATGATGGCCACCCAAGCTTCCAAGAGGTAGATGAAGGCGGTGTTGGAGCTGAACTGCCTTAGGATTTGTTGTGGTCTCCCCTGGAAGTACCAAGCACGCTTCGTTTCACCTGGTGGGAAAATCACTGCGCCCCATCCGTTCTCTACCTGGGTGTAGTCATGCGGTTTCCATCGTCCGGGATGTCATCACTGGGTCGGAGTCTGAGGTCGCCGGCAAGGTAGTAAGCGTCGGTGTAGATGATGGCGAAGTGCCTGTGTTGGATCTGCAGGGGAAGTCTCATGGGCTTGCAATGTTGTATGATGTCGAGGAGTGCATATAAGGCTGATTTCGTTGGTTTGTCGAGCTGTGACATGTTACTGTGTGCTCTGGAACAGATGGCTTTCAGGGGAGCTCGTCCGACTTTCCCGAAGAGTCGCGCGGTCAAGAAGTTGCATTTGCCGGCCATGCGACGTGCTTGGTCTGGGTCGAGCCTATCTTGTTGGAGACAGAGTTGTATCTCTTGGCACATCCGTTGTACTCTTTGTGGGCATGGTGTCAAGGCGATGCGCTGAGGCTCTGTGCTGACGATGACCCCTTGTATCTTGCGGAAACATGCTGGCGGTTGTCGTTTGCTGGATTTCATGTTGTATCCGAGGGCACCGTTGAAATCTTCGAACGCTCGGAAGCCGGAGTCGGCATGAGGTGTAGTCTCCGCGCTGCCATAATCATCAACATAGAGCATGGTGGGGCAAAGGAGGATGATACGTGACACTGTAACCCCAGACGCTAGCTGAGGATCCGAAGAGGAGCACGTTGTGGCTCCACAACGTGAGTCCTTCTGGTGTGTGCAGCAGCACGTATGCTTGTTGCGGCTGGTCGAGCCGGAGTTGGATGTATGCTCCGTCGTGATCATGTCCCCAAATCTGTAGGTGTTGCTGCGGGTCGCGTTGGTATGTCTGAATTGCCAGGGATGCTCAGTGCGGGCCCGGACACGGGCGGGTGGTGACGTGGCGCGCGTCAAAATTGTTCTCGTGATCGACCACTTTTTGGGGGCACGTCGTTGTCCTTCCTGGTTTCAGTAGTAGCAGTAGCAGTAGCAGTAGCAGTAGCAGTAGTAGTAGTAGTAGTAGAAGTAGTAGTAGTGGTAGGAATAGTAGTAGTAATGTAGTAGTAGTAGTAGTAGTAGTAGTAGTAGCAGTAGCAGCCATCGGGTGATTTTTCCGTCCAGCGAAACGCACGTTTTTTCAGGCTTACATTTGTTGGCTTTCCGTTCGTGTTGAAGAGCATACGGTGACCAGAGCATCCATGCCCAAGGCATAATTCCGTTCGTGTTCCAAGAGCACACGGTGACCAGAGCATCCATGCCCAGAGCATGATTCCGTTCGTGTTCCAAGAGCATGCGGTGACCAGAGCATCCATGCCCAACGCATAATTCCGCTCGTGTTCCAAGAGCATACGGTGACCAGAGCATCCATGCCCAAAGCATATATCCGTTCGTGTTCCAAGAGCATACGGTGACCAGAGCATCCATGCCCAAAGCATAATTCCGTTCGAGGACCTAGGAAGCTTATAATTGCGTCAGAAGTACAGCCGTAATTGCGCTATGACT